GCTGCGGCCCCCCCCTCCCCGGGAAGGGAAGAGCCGGAGAGCGGCTGCGGATGGGCTAAAGGGGCGGCGTTGCATTGCGATTTCGGGAAGGTGGGGGGTCCGGGGGGGTGGCCCGGCCCCCCGGAGCGGGGAGCACGGCCCCGGGGCTCACCTGGGCCGGGCAGCGCGGCGGGCGGCGGAGGATGCGCGGGCGGCGCGGAGCGGAGCGGGCTCCCCCTCCTCCCCGCCGCCCCCCAGGCCTCGGGCTGGGCTTTTTTGGGCTCCGCACCATTATTTCCTTGGAAAACTTGCTCCGGCCGGAGCGGGAGCTGGTGTGCTGTCCGAAGGCGGGATGGCAACCAAATGGTGCCGCAAGCGTCGGCTCCCCCGGCCGAGCCCGAGCCCCGCGCCCCCCCGGCCGCTCGCACCTATTGCCGGTCTCTGCCTCCCCCCTCCCCAGCCCCAGTTTGTTTGTATTGTGTCAGAAAAGGAGAGAATTTCAGAATTACAGCTGAAAACGCCATCTGTTTCCAATGAATCCCCCATAGTTTTTCACAATGTTTTTGGCAGATCTCTGCCTGCAAATTCCTTCAAGCCCCGAGTGCTTGTTTTTGTTGGGGGAGGGGAAACCCAGTCCACAGAGGCGGATTTGTTCCTTCCAAAACTCTCCAGTTTCTTTACCTCCCCCTTTTTTTTTTCATTTGCAAGGCGGGGGGGGGGGGGGGGGGGGGAGAAAGCAGGAGGAGGAAAAGCTCTAACGCTTAAATCTCCCCGTTTATCTTTTTAGTTGAGTAAAACTTTCCTTTTCTGTTTATTAATTTTTAAAGCGCCTCTGCCTTTCTTTTGCATAACTGTAGGTGAAGCAGTCTTGCACACACATGTAGTAAATAAATAAATAACTGCTTTACGCCCTTCCTCCCCCCTTTGCCCTCCTAGCCCTATTGCAGGAAAGCGAGCCTTTTCAGCGCTGCCCTTAGCACTGAGGTGTCCCTTCGGACCCCACTTCTCCCCGGGGACTTCCCAGCAGGCTGAAAGCTGAACCCCCTGTTTTTTCTGGAAACTCTGGAGCTGCTCCCATATGTGTTGCTTAACGCCCTTTTCGGAGCGGTTGAGCTGCAAAGCGTTGAGGCTGTGAGATTTACGGTGCAAGAAAGAACTTGATAGGAGATCTGGCTGGCTGCTTTGTTTGATTCTCCCTTCAGCAGTCAAATAAGGTGCAAAGAACTGGCAGAACGAGGCGATCCAGAGCCCGCGGGAGCAGGGCGCAGGCGGAGATGGTGCTCCCCGTGCGCAGGGCTGGGAGCATGCCGGGGGCTTTCGTTGAAAGCTTTTTGGGGTGGGAAGGTAGGAAAAAGGGGGGGATTTATTCCCTGGCATATCCTTTGCCCCTTTTTCCCTGTGCTTCCTGGGAATTTGTGGGTTCCCAGCAGGTTCCCAGCCCTGAGGAAGCTTCGCACCCCTCCTGACAGCCCCGGGTGAGCGGGGCCACTGAAGGCTGCCCAGTTGGGTGCTCAGCGTGTCAGGTCGGTGCCTCGCCGAGTCCTGCCCTGTTTATTTATTTGCTTAACCCCCTCCCCCTACGCACACACCCCGGGCTGGATTCCCGCTTGTGCTGCTCTCACACCGATGGCTTCACCCCACTGCCTCCTGGGCGGCCCCCACCGTCGAGCACCCGCAGGCCGAGAGCACTGCTTGGGTCCTCTCTGCGTGGGTCCCCCCGGCGGGGGTCAGGGTGACCACTGAGCATGGGGCAGCTGGGGAAGGAGGTTTGGGCAGAGCAGGCCACTGCTGACAGTTTCCCTGGCAGAAGTCCTGCTCAGGGCTTGTGCCAAGGCCCAGCATCGGATGCTCAGGGGTGCTCTCCCCTCCCAGCTGGGACCCTGACTTCCCGGGGTGCTCAGCTGACCCCTGCCTGTGCCTCCCAGTACAGGCTGTGCTGAGTTTTCTTGCAAATCCTTTTGTATCCTTTTGTACTTTCAAAATCTGGCCCTGGGTGTTTTGTCCCAGACGTCAAGCTTTGCTCTCTCCCTCGTACTCCACTTTGCTTTGGGATTTCCAGTTTGTCTTTGGCTTTGGTGTTTTGGCTGTAACACACTCCTGCCGCCGACAAAAATTGGGATTTTCTGCCCTTGGTCCATCCAGGCAATGAGGCTGATTCCAGATAAGGATCCATCCCTACTGGAGGTGTATTGGATCGGTTGATAAATGGCTTTTGTCTCAGCTGCAGGGAGGGACTTGATCGCAGCATTAAGCTGAAATTGAGAAGGGCAGCTTAGAGGCTGTTAAAACAACACCTCCCCAATGCTGCAAACGGGGAGCTGAGCTGGGGGCCGGGGAAGGTGGCGGCAGGGGAGGAGCGCGCCTGTGCAGGATGTTGTCAGGGCAGAGAAGAAGGGAGGGATTCAAACGTAAACCTGGAAATATTTTGGCTTCCCTGTTTTGTTGCTTGCTCGGAGCCCGTCTCGTACTTAGAACAGGGAGTTCTCTGCCATTGCCAGCAAGGCTTGTTGTGGGGCTGGAAGGAGACGCCTTGTTTTTAATGCAGGTGGGGTGGATATGTTGCTTTTTTCCACAGAAAATCCTGAAATTCCTAGCCCTTGGTTACTGGGAATGGGGGGATATTAAGAGTGACTTTGGGTTCATCATGGCAGCAGCTGAGGTTTCCTTCTTTGTGGCCCAAACAGCTGTGCTGAGTCGGATGTGCACATGAAAGTGCTCACAGGGCTGGGCAGCCATAAAAACTTCCTAACCTGGGGGCTCTGCTCGATCTCTGCACCAACCTGCTGTCCCTGGAGAGCTGGGCTGCGGCACTGGATCAGGCCCCAGCAACAATGAGTTTTGTGGTCTTTCTTCTGGCTCCCTGATGGGCACATCCCATAAAGCAGCTGTAGGCTCCAACAGGGCAATGCATGGCCCAAGTGAGCCCCTCCTCAGTCCATCAGTCCTTAGGGAGACCCCCCAGCCAAGCCCTACAGCTCCCAAAGGATGAGTGCTAGCAGGACAGCAAAGAAGGTCAAAAACAAGAGGGTTTGATCCATCTAGATGGGTTTGATTGTGTTTGATTTGCTTTTCCCATTGGAGCAGACACCAAACTTGGAATAAGGAGGAGCGTGGGAACCCAGGAGCGAAAGAGCATCAGGGTCCCAGGTGGTTTGGAGGGGGCCGGGGTAAACTCAGGGATGCTGCAAACCAGGAGTGATGTGTGCTGGGGCAATGTGGAAGGGTTTCTGGGGAGGATGGGGGATGCTCAGAGATGAAGCTGTGATGGGGCAGGTGAGGGGTGGGTGCCCTGGCCTTTTTCTGGCTGTGCTGGCAAATCCTGTCTTGATGCTGCAGTTCAGGAGCAAGCTGTGCAGGCAGGGCCCTGCCTGGCCTTGCACAGCACCCGGAGCGCACTTGTAAGAGGAGAGCCCCTAAATGCCTTTAAAAGCTTTGTACCCTGCACTTGGCAGCTACTGGGATGAAAAGAAGAGGATATTTATTCCCTTGTCCGTGAGCTCTCAAAATAACAGGGCGTTCGATTGTAGCCTCAAGATTGCTTTGCACTCAAGTGCAGCCCGGCTGAGTAAATCACTGCTTCACCAGCTGAAATTCCTGCAGCAAGGGGGAGAATTGAATTATGGCCAACTGCAAAACCAGATGCCATCCCCTTGATGAAGTCATCGGGCTCTTACTGCGGAGAACAAGCTGGCTCCTACACACACGCAGCCCTCGTAGGCGCAGACTGAGCCGCTCTGTCTAACGGCCTGGCCATGGTGTGCGGGGCAGCTGGAGGCTGGCATCCCTGCAGATGCGAGAACAGCAAGTCCTTCAGGGCGGAGCACCACAAGGGTGTCAAGTCCCACTTTCTGCTGCATGAGCATCCAGGGGAGTTTGGCCATTTAATTCCCAGCAAGCAGGGAATTCCTATCTCTGCATATATGGGGGGTTTATGGGTCAGGCAGAGATCAAGCTTCACTTGAGCCCAAAGTACTTTCTCCTCCCTTGGTTTCCTCTCCTTCCTGGACAGCTGTTGACTTTGGTCCCCAAAGCCCTAGTAATGATCTACGGCATTTTGGGTTTTGGACAAGCTACCTTTTTTCTTGCCGTGTGACACACTCCAGCCAGCCCTTTCTGAGATGATGAGGACGTGCAGCAGCACATTTTAGGGACGGATCCTGGCTCTGGGCTTTGCCAGCCCACAGTGATGTGAGAGCACCACTGTGCTGGCGATGGGAGGGTGGGGAGCAGTGGGACTGGGGAGGAGGGTTCCAGTTAGAAAGTTACTTTTTCTCTTAAAATTAAAACCTGAGTCCAGAGGGGCCATCAGTCAGATACATTTAAAAATAAATAAACCTCGGAAGGTCTGTGGCTGTGAAGGAGGAACAGATATTGTGGCTTCCATAGGGCACGAGTGATGGGGAGCGACTCTGGTGCCGGGTGGGAGCCTAGCCTGCAGGAGGGGATCCACTAGATCCCCTGCATCCCCGGGTGCAGGTCCAGCATCGGTCAGGTGTTCGCATGGGTTTTAGGTGGGCTCATGGGGCTGTTGACTGCCA